AACCTCCACCTCCTGGGTTCAGGCAATTCTCCTGTCTCAACCTCCTGAGTAGCTGGGATTACAGGCACGTGCCACCATGCCCAGCTAATGTTTTGTATTTTTAGTAGAGATAGGGTTTCACCATGTTGACCAGGATGGTCTCGATCTCTTGACCTCGTAATCCACCCGCCTCGGCCTCCCAAAGTGCTGGGATTACAGGCTTGAGCCACTGCACCCGGCTCTTTTCACATTTTTCAATGTGGCTGCTAGAAATTACATATGCAGGTTTTGTTATGTTTCTACTGTACAGCACTGCTCTAGGATGTGAACTTCAAGATGGCAGCAGACTTTGTAAAGAACAGTGCCTGGCATCCCATCCAGGTAACCCACATTTCTAGATTGTGGAAGAAATCCCTGCTGCTGTTGATGCTGCTGAGGGGAGCTGTAACAGCAGGGCTGCAGAGTATCCCTGGCTGTTGGTCCTGACCTGAGCCCTTCCCTTGCACAGCTGCCTGCCCACTCACCAGCAATGAGGGTGCTCTGCTGCCGGGCCTGCTCCAGCAGTAGCACGTGCTGCAGCAGGGAGGCATGTCCATGGGGGCTCCCGTCGCCCTCCAGTGCCACACCCAGCAGGCAGCCAGGGATAGAGGATGTGCTCATGAACTTGCCGGTCAGCATGCCACCCTGCCGCAGGGACTGGAGGGCCTGCCTCTCGGCCTCCTGCTGCGTCGACAGCTTCGGGGAGGCCTGGGGGGTGGAGGGAGGGGCTTATACAGCCTCAGTCCTGCCAACTTTGGACCAGCAACCCCATCTACCCGATATCTACCCACCAGCTCTGGGGAGGGCCAAGTGATCTCCCTTACGGCTTTGGAAGAGCAAAAGCCCCAGATGGAGGCATCAAGGACCCCTGACCTCAACACCAGAGTGAGGACGGGGTATGTGCCCCATACTTACGGTGAGGTGCGAGTTGGTGACAGTGACCGTGGCCTGCAGCCCTAGGGAGATGTTAGGCAGAGAGGGAGATGTGTAGAGGCTGAACTGGTTGGGGGAGCTGTCCAGAGGGAGGGCTCGGTGCTGGGGGAGCATCTGGGAAGCAGTCAGAAGAGACAGGTATGAGAGTGGGCAAAGGGGAGGCGACAAGGGAGGGCAACCTGGGGCCAAGGCCAAGGTCTCCGAATAGTGCCCAGTTCCCTCTACCCTGAGCTCCCACTGAGGGAGACTGAGCCATCAGAGCTCTTCATGGTCCTGTGGGACAAATCCCCCTTCAAGGCAATTAATTCCAAGCAAGGACTCTTCAGCCTATTCATGTGGGCAGAGAGGTCTCTGGTGGGCATTCAGCCAGACAGACTGGAAGGAGCTGTACTCTGTCTTTCAAGGGAGAGAGAGCAGCTCTGTCCCACCCCAACCAGCCCTCAACCAGGCCTGTACCTCGGTAGGGATGTTGGGGACTGAGCCAGTAAAGCCATTCTCAGCGATGGTGCTGTGGGAGCTGTTGGGAGAGCTGGGGCCGGAGCCTGGTGCGCTGTTACACACGGACGACGCTATAGGAGAAGTGGCTGTCACCTGGGCCTGCTCTGAACTAGCCCCTGCCCCCCTGATTCCCAGACCCTCAGAACAGGTAACAGGAGAGCAATCCTTACCCCCAGGCCCAGCACCTGTGATCTCAACAGCTCTCTTCTTAAAGGTGCTAATAACAGTCCCATCCTTGCGACGCAGGAGGGGACTGCTTCTTCGCTCTGCCACCTTCTGTTTTAGCCTTGAACGCACTTTCAAGTTGGGTTCAGAGGCTGGAGAGAAGGTAACCAAGGTTCAGATACATACACAGAGCACACACCTGCAGCTGAGTCCACTGTGGTCAGGGCTGACCCTGCCACAAAGCCCACGCCTGCCTCCCAGGGGCCATATTCTGGGAGGCCAGGTTGGGGACTCACTCACCTGTCTTGCGGAGGGGGAAGTCGTCTCGACTGTCATAGGGCCCAGGCAAAGGCAGTTTGTAGGAGGGAGGCGTCCCAGGGGGGCCGCTCTGGGGAGGGGAACTCTGGTCCAAAGAAGCATGGTGGGCTCCCCTGGAGGTAGGGTTGGGGATAGAAGCAGATCGAGGTTACCACCCGGCCTGCTGGACCTGCCACCTGGCAATCTCCACTTATGAAAAATCCTTTGTATACAGGAAGAGGACATGGATCTTGGGGAAGGAATGAGGAAATAAACAGGGATGGGGGCATCCTATCTCCAAGGAGAGATTGCAGGGCCTGTATATGGGCACCGGGCATAAGCCCCTCGCCATCCTGTAGCCAGGCAGCCCCAAGCGGCTCACCTCTGCCCACCCATGCCTGCCCAGGGCCATTACCAGCATTTGGGGTGCTGTGGGAGGGAATGGTTGAGGCCGCCTGGTGTGGGCTCCTTTGACTTCGACAAGAGGAATTCCTGGAGCCTCAGCTTTACCTCAGTGCTGGCAATGGCACCTGTAGGACAGGGTACAACTGACCTGGCTGCTTGGGGCCAGACCCCCCCAATGGCAGGGGCAGGTGTCACAGGTGGGGCCTCAGGAAGTCACAGGAGGCCACGCCTTACTCTCTTTGCTCTTCTCCTTGTTCCGCAGGATGAGCAGCTGCTGCTCCAGCCGCTGCTTCTCCAGCTCTTCCTGCCGCTGCTGCTCCCGCTGCCGTTGCTGCTCCAGCTCCTGCTGCCGCTTGGCTGCCAGCATCTCCTGCTGCTGTTTGGCTGCCAGCATCTCCTGCTGCTGCTGCAGGAGCATGGGGAGGGAGGCAGGAGTGAGCCAGGCCCGGGCGGGGGTCGGAGGTTGGGGCGGCCCCCCGCGCCCCCCTCGCTCACCTTGAGGTGCTTCTGCAGCTGGACCTCATGCTGCCTTGTCAGGTGGTCATGCTGTTTCTGGAACTCAGCGAACAGGAGCTGCTTCTGCAGCTGCTGCTGCTGCTTGAGCGCCAGTAGCTCCTGCTGCAGTTGCTGCTCCCGCAGTGTGGGGTCCACAGAGCCCACCAGAGCCCCCCGTAGCTCCACAGGGCTGGGGCTGCCTCCACCCCCACCCCCCATGGAGCTGGGCATGGCTCCTGGCAGCACCGGCTTCACCTCCACTGCGGGCAGAAGAGACAGGAAGGAGTTAGCGGACCCAGCCCCAGACTGCAGCCATGCCTGTGGCCCAAAGGCTACCGGATAGGATTCTAGGAGACCCAAAGAGAACAGAGACAGAGGGGAAGTCAAATCCCTCTGCTCCATGGATGCAACATTTTGCCTTAATTAAATGAGGCTGAAGCCATGAAATTCAATAGGAAAATATGGGCCGAGCGCGGTGGCTCACACCTGTAATTCCAGCACTTTGGGAGGCTGAGGCGGGCGGATCACTTGAGGCCAGGAGTTTGAGACCAGCCTGGCCAACATGGCCAAATATACAAAAATACAAAAATTAGCTGGGCGTGATGGTGCACGCCTATAATCCCAGCTACCCAGGTCGCTGAGGCAGGAGAATCTCTTATACCCTGGGAGGCAGAGGCTGCAGTGAGCCAAGATCTGCAGCTGCACTCCAGCCAGGGCAACAGAGCAAGTCTGTCTCAAACAAAAAGAAAATATGCATAAGCATGAAGCTGTACCTGACAGATTTTGAGTACTAAACACGTTTTATATATATGTTTATGCTTGTGTATATGTGTGTGCGTGTGTGTATCTACCTACCTACGTATATATTAGAGACAAGGTCTTGCTGTGTTGTCCAGGCTGGAATGCAGTGGCATGACTATGGCTCACGATAGCCTCGACCTCAAGCAACTCTCCCGCCTCAGCTTCCCAAGTAGCTGGGACTACAGGAGCACGCCAATGCACCAGCTAATTTTTAAATATTTAGTGGAGACAGGGTCTCACTATGTTGCCCAAGCTGGCCTTTAACCCCTAGGCTCAAATGATCCTCCCACCTCAGCCTCCCAAAGTGCTAGGATTATAGATGTGAGCCACTGCCCAGCCTTCAACACACAATATTGTCATTGATAATCAACACATCTCTGGGCATTTTATAAGAATGACTCATTTAAATGTCACGGTTAGGTAGAACTTGGGTACTATCATCACGCCATTTTCCTGATGAGGAAACTGAGGTTTAGAGAAGTATAAGTAGCAACCAAACACAGCCAGGCAATCGAAGAACCAGAATGTGAGTGTAAATCCTAAGCTTTTAACCACTGTCCTGTGCCCCCTCCCATTTCTTAACACCATGCTCCATGCAAAGCCTCGTACTAGAAGAGAAACTGAGGCACAGAAGTTGGTTCAGGAACTGATGGGGCCCTTGGTAACCCCAGGAGAGGTTGGTGGAGACCCTCTGGATATTCCTATTCTCTGTCCCATTCTGGGGCCTCATCCCTATCTGGGGCAGGAGGGAGAGGCTGTGGGAATGGGGGTGGGGTGGGAACAGAAGGCCTTGGGGAAAGGGGGTGCAGGGCTGCACCAAGCCCGGGACAGGAGGGGGCTGGGAGTCAGACTAGCTTCCTTTGCTGGATTATCTCCTTTCAACAGTTTTATTGTAATTACCCTGAAAATGCCGCTATATATAGAGTGAGCCAAACAGCAGCTGTGCCTGGGGGGAGGGAGAATGAGAGGATGGGCGGGCAGCAGGGAGGAGGTAGGAGGAGGAGACAGGAAAGGAAAGGGAATCAGACAGGAAGAAGGGTAAGGGCAGGGGGAGGGCGGGAGCTTCAGTAGAGATCTCAGAACTCTCGTCCTAGGGATAACCGTCTGGGGAGAAGGAGGCTGCCGGGGAGGGGAAGGCAGTGAAGGGAGGGCCTGCTGGGTTCCCAGACCTTGGGTCCGGGCCCCACATGGACAATGGCCGAGCAGCTCAGGGAGTGCATGAGGTTCCAATGGGCTTATGGGAAGGCTGGGTCTCCACCTTTTTATCCCTACACAAGGTCTTCTGGTCACTGCATGTCACTCCCCACCACTGCCCTGTGGTTGTGCCCTGTGGTTGTCAAGACAACTGGGCAAACACCACACCAGCAGGGAGCCCCAAGCCCAGCCCACGCCCCACAAAGCCTCCAGCCAGGAAGGGGAAGGCAGGATACCTCACTGCCTGGGAAGGCGGAAGTGAGAGAGGCAGGGCCAACCCATTCCTGTTTCTCTTCTACTTCTTTCTCCAAAGAAAGCCCTCACTCTCCTCGATGCAGCCCAGGGAGGTCACGAGGGGCTGAGAAGGCCCTCCAGTGGCAAAGTGGCCCACTCCGGCCCAGGGCTGGCAGAAAGGACTCCAATATTCTTCTGGCTACCAGTACTTCTGCCCTCATGAGCTGGCCTCTCTGCAGGCCAGCCCCCAGCATTAAGAGGAGAGAGAGAAAAAAAAAAAAGTTGTTTTTTTTTTTCTGAGAGTCTTACTGCAACCTCCACCGCCTGGGTTCAAGCTATTCTCCTGCCTGAGACTCCCAAGTGGCTGGGATTATACCACACCCAGCTAATTTTTGTATTTTTAGTAGAAACGGGGTTTCACCATGTTGGTCAGGCTGGTCTTGAACTCCTGACCATAGGTGATCCACATGCCCCGACCTCCCAAAGCGCTGGGATTATAGCCCATCACACCGGCCGAAAAATTTTCAGAGAAGAGAGGAAGGTGGGAGGTGGGAGGTGGCAAAGGGTGGGCTAAGAGAGGCCCCTATACCTGTGTAGATGGACCTGGATCTCTCCAGAGAACCTAGCACTGAATAAGTGTCACCAAGGCAGAAGCAAGACCTGCTGGAAGCCAAGTCCATGCCACCGGAACGCCTGGAGTATGGCCTCTGGAACCCCCTGCAGGCAGGGTGGGGTGGGAGACGGTAAAGGCTAAAGCACGATGTCGATGTCGCAGTCCCCACCAGCCAGCCTCTTCTCCCCCAAGCATAATTGGGAACATTCCTCTGTGGTTTGCCCGCCAGCCGTACTGACGACTCTGTGGCCACAAGGCCAGAGCCACATGTGCAGAAGTGGCCAGATGTGGCCAGAGGGTGGGGTTACACATACTCACTCACCCTCCTTCCCAACCCATGTCCTGCCCCAGCACCAGGAAGAAGGGTCCTTGGAAACTGCAGAAGGCCTTGCTGGAGGTAGCCAGCCATGGTCCACGATGGTAGCAAGGAAATGTCAGCCAGCTCAGGACTCCCCAGCCTGTGACGTGCTCAGCAAGGCCCTGAGCTGGCCAGACGGTTATCTGTTCTTAGGCAAGGCTGGCTTGGCCCGTGGAATTCTGATCACTAAGCCAAGCGGTGGACGGGCTTCAACCTGCTGCTCCCGGCAATGGCGGGGTTGCAGGAGCCGGATGCCAGCCAGCCCGCCCGCCCAGGGAAGGGCAGGGGTCCAAGCACTCCCAGCTCCCAGCAGATAGCCCTGCCTCAGGCTGAAACTGCTGCCAGCAGTACTGGCTTCCCTTGCAGGAGCCCTGCAGAGAGCACATGGGCTCAGGAAGGGGAATCTCCCACCAGACTGTCACTGCCACTGCAGCCGCAGCGATGTCAGGCCCGGAGCTACAGTGGGAGCCACAGCCCTATTGGTATGCAGGTGGCAGGGTGGGCAGAGGGCTCTGCCATGCAGCCTCGTTCTTATGCGAACTGGAAGCACAGGCGACTCCAGAATATTAATTTTCAGGGCCTGGGTGGCATGCAGCACCCCGGGGGTTTGCCAGGTGGCAACCTGCTCCACCCAAAGTGGAAGGGGCCATGGCTGCTCGGCCTAAGTCAGGGAAAAGAGGGGCATGGAGCCCCATGAGTAGATCTGCCAGGCACAGACCCTGGAGCCTGGCTAGGCTTACACTCTCTCAATGATCTGTGTCCTCTGCCAGCCTGGCATGAGCAGAGCAGGTGGCAGCAGCTGCCATCAGCACCAAGCACCTGGAAGGGGAACTGGGTGTGTCATGATAGGAAGAGGCTCTTGGCCGCCTCCTGGTGGACCAAAGGTGGCTGGAGACCCCCTGGGAAAAGAAGAGGGTAGATGGGCCGGGCATGTTGGCTCACGCCTGTAATCCCAGCAATTTGGGAGGCTGAGGCAGGAGGATCACCTGAGGTCAGGAGTTCACGACCAGCTCGGTCAAGAAGGCAAAACCCCATCTCTACTAAAAAATATAAAAATTGGCCCAGCGAGGTGGCTCAACGCCTATAATCCCAGCAGTTTGGGAGGCCAAGGCGGGTGGATTACTAGGTCAGGAGATCAAGACCAGCCTGGCCAACATAGTAAAACTCCATCTCTACTAAAAATACAAAAATTATCTGGGCATGGAGGCAGGAGACTCGTTTGAACCCGTGAGGCAGAGGTTGCAGTGATCTGAGATTGAGCCACTGTACTCCAGCCGCCACTGCACTCCATCCTGGTGACAGAGCGAGACTCCATCTCAAAAAAAAAAAAAAAGCCAGGTGTGGTATCGAGCACTTGTAATCACTAAAAAATACAAAAATTAGCTGGGCATGGCAGCCGATGCTTGCAATCTCAGCTACTCAGGAGGCTGAGGCAGGGAGAATTGCTTGAACCTGGGAGGTGAAGGTTGCAGTGAGCCTAGATCATGCCACTGCACTCTAGCCTGGGTGACAGAGCGAGACTCCATCTCAAGAAAAAAAAAGAGGGCAGACAAAGGGACACTGTTTCCTAAGAGGATAGGTCAGGAGCTCTAGCTAGCAAAGAGCCCCACTGAAAGGCCAGGGAGGGCCAGGCGCGGTGGCTCACGCCTATAATCCCAGTACTTTGGGAGGCTGAGGCTGGCAGATCGCCTGAGGTTGGGAGTTCGAGACCAGCCTGACCAACATGGAGAAACCCCATCTCTAATAAAAATACAAAATTAGCCAGGCATGGGGGTACATGCCTGTAATCCCAGCTACTTGGGAGGCTGAAGCAGAAGAATCACTTAAACCTGAGAGGCAGAGGTTGCACTGAGCCGAGATCATACCATTGCATTCCAGCCTGGGCAACAAGAGTGAAACCCCGTATAAAAAAAAAAAAAAAAAAAAAAAGCCAGGGAAAGGTCACAGAGGAGGACAAGGCCCTGGGTCCTTCCCTCACCCCCCAGGGCCTCACTCTGATGAGAATCAAGAGGCCAGGTGCCTAACAGAGCCACCTCCTGCAGGGGTTGGAGGCAAGACTC